CCCCAAAACCCCAAAACCCCAAAACCCCAAATCTCTTAACAAATCTGATCTTTATAGTAATAAATTAAGCTAGCATGGAAACACCCACTTGAGGCCCTTATGAATGCTTAAGGGTTATAGGCAAAGGAGGATTTTCAGAGTAAATGCTTTAGAATTTAAGCTTTATAGGGTGCATCTGGCCAAGCATATGGAGACCGGAGATATGGTTGCATTGAAGGTGATGATGGAAATGGGAGTAGATTTAGAAATTGTTAGAAGCGAGGTCAGGTAAGTGTTTTAGAGGTTTTTGGACAAATTTTGAGAGGTTGGAAATGGATTTTAGATGCTGAAGAGGAGCTTTAGATTTTTTTGTGTTAGGATATTTTTTGAAAAACTTTATACACCTAAGTATCTATATTTTCTTGCGTTTTGCTTAAATTTTCTACTAAATCTTATGAGAAAATCACGATCAAAATATAGATCACTTGAACACCTCAGCCATCCGAATATAATCAGTTTGGTTGATTCATGCGAAGATGCTACATTTATGAATTCTAATTGACAAGAGATGAATGTTATGTACATCGCTCTGGAGCTTGCTGCTGCTGGGGATCTTTGCAACATTATCTTGCTAAGTGGGAGATTCCCTGAAGATCTTGCTAGATACTATTTTCATCAATTACTTGAAGGAGTTGACTACCTTCACAGCAGAGGTATCTCTCATAGAGACTTAAAACCTGAGAATCTGATGCTTGATGCTGATATGAACCTTAAATTGGCAGACTTTGGCTTCTCTTCTACTCAAGCCTTGAATGAGACTCTGAAGGGAACTGGAGGATACATGGCACCTGAAATTTACACAGGTCTTGAATACAGCGGACACTGTGTCGACTTATTTGCAGCAGGAGTCATTCTTTTCATAATGGTAGCTGGAACACCTCCATTTAAAGAGTCGAAAAGCACTGATCCACACTACAAAACATTTCCAGGAAATAGGAAGGACTTATTCTGGCGCTTTCACACCAAAAGAAGAGAGGGTGGGTTGGAGTTCTTCTCAGATGATTTCAGAGATCTCATTTCGAGTTTGTTATCAGTCGATCCTCATGTGAGACCTTCAATGGCTGAGATCAGAGCCCATCCGTGGTACAATGGCCCTGTTCCTACCCAAGAAGAGGTCCAAGAGGAGATGGAGAAGAGAAAGCAAATTATTGATGAGAGTAATGACCAAAGCTCACAAAAAGCCCCTGAAACTTATACAGCTAAGACTATTTATCGCGGTTGCAGTGGTAAAGATGAGGCTCCGAATATGTCTGCCATCAGAAAATTAGCTCAATACACCCCTGGGATTACCAAGTATACACAGTTCTATTCTACGTTTGATGAGGATACCCTCCTTGCAACCTTAACCCAGTTCTGTGAAGAATTCTCTCTTGACTATGAAGTGAATGATGAAGAATACAAAGCAAAGATCGAATTCGGAACAAAGATGGTCGATGTTACTCTCCAAGTAAGCATCCTCGAGGTTGATGAAACCAAGAGATGCATCGAATTCTTCAAACTGAGAGGAGCCATATTTGACTTCATTGAGGCGTATAAGATGATTAAAGGTTTCTTCGGAGGGCAAGCAGATACCACACTTGATGATTAAAAGATTTAGGTTGCTTCAATTCTTATTCTGTTGTATGGGGTTTTGGGGTTTTGGGGTTTTGGGG